TGTGCTTCACAAGAGGAAGTGTACGCTGGACAGGAAAGGTCTGAACAGGTACCAATGAAAACACAAGTTCAGCTAATGTGTCAGTAATGAATAGACTTCTAAATACGTTGTCTTTTCTTCGTGGTGATTTGCTCCTTGGGCTTGAACTTTGGAGTCCTAACTTTGCATACAATTCTTCCGGGAAGAGTAGTAATTCATATCCTGGTTTAGTGACCAAGTAAGGATCACAGAGTGTCTTCTACAGCCACCTTTACTCTGCTTTCCATCGTGGTGGAATGTTATAAATACAGGACTAAAGGGTATTGGGCAGTCATCACACCCAGTCTTAACAGCTCTACGTAATTGCTTTCATAAACTTGACCTTAAAAACAGTTCATTTGTTCCTTCTTTCATTTTTACGCTGGTCTAGAATACAAATAGTCTGGGGATGAAAAGGTAGTTTCTAGTAAAGTTTGTTCATGATCGCTTCATGCCTATTTGCTTTCATGGTACTCTCCTTAAAGTTATACTTATTTTTCCTCATTAGTGGTAATCCCTGTAATACTTTTATTGAAAGCAAGTCTATTTTCTTTTCATTGTGGATTTGCTAGGCTAGGCAAGTTATGTTTTCCTCTTATTTCAGTTCATAAGATGGGCAATCTGTTCTTCCATCCTGATAACCTTTTTTTGCAGTTGTTCTTTGAATCTGTCTTTGAGGGTGATCAGAACTCTGTATGATATTGTATGTGAACGCTCACTAGTGCCTCATTGCATGACATGGCTACTTTTCTGTTTTTACTGAAAAGAGTCTACTTAAACTTTTTCTTTCTCCATTTTTTTTATGGCCATCTCATTTGGGGATTAGCTAACAAACCACAAGGGTAAACTTCCTACCTCTCACTTTTGGTTTTCAACTGAAGAGCTCTGAATTTAAACACAAATAATTATTATAGTCCCTGAACTCCAAGCTATTCTTGTTCCAACCTGATAGTAGGTTGTATCAAAAAAGGACACATAACCACATTGCAAGTTTTATACTAATCCTTCGTTTTTCAGCTAAACATGTCATTTCTTATATTGTATAATAAATTACAAATGTTCGTTCAGATTACATTTACTGCATGATCTAGCTTTTATATAATAGCACATTTTCCATTTAAAAACAGTGGGAAAAGCATTATTCATACATGTGTGATGAGGAGAGTATTTTTGAGCTGGGGAAACTAAACCACTCAATAGTTGAGACAAACAGAATTTAATTAGTGACTGCTCGCTGAACTAGATGCTGACCTTTTTCCTTAAAAATCTTGGGACAACTGACTGACAAGTGTGTTTTTCTTGAGGCTGAAAAGAAAAAAAAAAAGCCTTAAACATCATACTCTGCTGAGCTGGAGAAAAGAATTATTTGCCTGTCAGTCTATTAAGCTGCTAAATTCCTTCTCCAGGCTTCAGTTATCCAATTTTGTTTTCTATTACATGTGGAAATGGCTGCATGTGGTTAATATTAAAGGTATTGCCATACCATAGACCTCATCAGATAACCAATCTAATTTCGGAGACTGGCTTCTTAGTCTTCTTGTTTCCATCTTCATGTTCTTTTCCTCATAAGTGTGTGAGAAATAGTGAATAAATGTGGGAATGAGAGTTCAAGGCTTTTAACCAATCGTAGGCTCAAATCTGTAATTTTTAGCAAGGCTTCCCATGTAGCGGACTAGTCTGCCATATTTTGCTGTGAAAATAAAGTAAAGTTGACAGAACCACAGTGCTTCAATACCAGTTCTTTCATTATGATTTGATTGTGGGGATTACTTCTCTCCCAAGTAGTCACTCTTGTGAGTACTGGCATAAAAGGGGTAGTTTGAGCTATTGTGAAACGGAAGCTGGTTTTGTATTGCTGGTGTTATGGGGTTGGTTGGTTGGTTTGTTTTGAAAAGTGTAGGAATGCTATTTCCCAGGTGAAGCAAAAGTGCTTTCATAAAGTGTTGCTGGCCTCTGATATTAACCGATGTTAACTTTGGACATCAGAAAAGATAAATAAAATTTGTGAATAAAAACAATCCAACAAAACTCTTAAAGATTTATATTTTCCATATAAATGTCACATTTATTTACTGTTTTTGTTGGAAGGCTGTATATTATGTCTTATCTGACTTTAGTGTTTCTTTCAGCTTTCAGACAGAGGACACACAGAAAGAGAAGAGCAGAAAAAAGATAACAATAGCACCGAATGCAGCGATCTAGGAATCATGGATTTGAAATTCACTTCATCAAGAAAATACATTTCCATCAGTGTGCCTTCCAAATCTCAGACTATGTCTCCTCATATCAAATCAGTAGATGATGTTGTTGTTCTTGGCATGAATCTCAGCAAATTTAACAAACCTACTCAATTTTTCATCTGTGTTTCTGGAGTTTTTATGTTTTATCTAATCTATGGATATTTACAGGTAAATGCTGTGAAATTGTGTCTTAGGCCAATTCCTCCTTCCCCTTTTCTTTTTCAATAGCACAATAATATAGTATGTATTTTAATATGTATAGACATTTAAAATAGATATTTATTGCAAAGTCAAGCTTTCAGAATTCAAGAGCAGCAAGTATTTGTATCAGGTAAAATTCCATTAGAGTACACGTGCCTACAAGGTTTCATTCAGTTGAACTTTCATAACTTGATCTTTTACTTCTGTGTACAAGATATACCTTTCAATATTGTTTTGAATGTGTATTTTTTTAAATGTGACTTCATAGTCTTCTGAAAACAAGCAAATGGTAGAACCATACAGACTGACATGTAGGTCTTGATTCGTGCTGAAACCTTTACCTCTCCTTGGGTTCTGTGAGTGCCGTTCAGTAATAGTAGTCTATTGTTCTCTCTGCTGTTCCTTCAGGACAGAGCTGAAACGTGTACTGTGGTTCGTTGTGAAGCGGAAGCATAATGTTTATGCCATTTTAATTAAACATTTCTCTTCCTGCTAACCTTTTCTCTTTTATCTTGAGCAGTTGCGTTTCTGTTTCTTGTTTAATTTTTTTTTTTAAGTTCACTGAGTCTTCTCAATAAAGTAGTGGTTTTAAAAGTTGATAATTAAGAATCACTGTGTTTCCAATGCAGTTTTCAAAAACAGCTGAGAAGTTTGTTAAAATAAAGTTACTTCCAAAAAGTTAGAAAAAGTTACCAGTATTTGAAAGTAGAATCTCAAAAAGGAAAATATTAGGTAGCCTTTTGTTTCTGTAACTGGCACATCCACATAATTCTTTATGCAGTGCGTGTATTTTTCCATAAGAAATTGCTCTGGGTTTAAATGTTCCTACAGCCTGAAAATGTATAAGCTCACAAGTCCTATTTAATGCAGACACTCAAAATATTAGGTGAGCATTTCTAAGAGACAAAAATTACTATTAAATATGTCTGTTAGAGAAAGTTTGTATTTTATTTATTGTGAGCTATTTATAAATTCTGAATAAAAACAGTCTACTGAAGTAAATGAACTGCAAACGGACAGGAAACATCTATAATTTGAGATAAAGATTAATGGATCAAACGTATTCCCCTGATGAATCGATCCAATAATTTCAGTGGATTTACAGCAGCAGTAAATTTTCTCATTACACCTTGGAGAATCGAGAATCTAAATTGTTTTTTTTAATACTTTGCAAGTTATGTATGACAGGTAAATTCTAGTTAATAACCAGCAGCTGCAAAGGCTAGATTTGCATGTACATGAGGAAAAAAAAAATCTGATTTTGTTTTGATTTAATATTTTGACGTATGTATGTGACCTTGATGGGTTTTTGTTTTTATAGGAATTGATATTTTCAGTGGAAGGTTTTAAACCTTTTGGTTGGTACCTCACTTTAGTGCAATTTGGATTTTATTCCATTTTTGGACTAATTGAATTGCAGTTGATTCAGGACAAAAGGAGAAGGTACGTGTTTTTCCAAGCATTTTAGCCACTATCCGCCGAATTAGAAATGTTTTGGTATTTATGGTAAATTTAACTTCTGTTGTTTGAATGTGAATACTGTGATGCATCAGTAGCAGTTACGTAATTAATGTGAATTTACTGGATGATGTTAGAAAATGTTATATAAGTACCCACTTAGATTTCAAACCTGTATGTGGTCGTCTTGATTCTACTGGTAGTTTGTCCCACTTACAGAGCATATTCTATCCTTAAGGTAGCTGACACAGACTCGCTCGTGTTTCTGTTGCTTGGGATTATCACATCCAGAATAGGGCCGACTGTGCTTCACGGCAGTTGAAGCTATCTCTTGTTGCATACCTTTCCCTCAAACCTTGCCACCTCCTTAACAAGAGGTTCCTCTTAACATGCTGTGCATCTTGGAGAGTGTCAGAGGTCTGCTCTCTGTTTGCATGTGGCTGCGTAGGTTTGCTTCAATGGATGTGCTTAGGTTTTGACTTTTTTGTTTAAGATAGCACTCATAACACCCTGCCACAAAGTTATTCTGTATTTTTTCACTGCAGTTGACCAAGGAGATTCTTGCTGTCTTGAATCCTACAGATATGGCATAGTTTGATCTTACTCAGTGTGGCCATTCTGTGGCTTCCTGCCCAACTACAGCCTCTGCAAACTGTATATTGAGGCCCTCTGGAAGCTCGGATAGAGGCTGTCATAGTGTACATGAATTTTAAAATGGCTTTAAAGCATTATATCCTAGTTGTGTATAATTAGTTTTCCTTACCTGTAGTAAACCTTGGCTGATTTTGTATCGTTTTCAGGTAATAGAATTCTTTTCTAGCCAAACAAAGTAACTTTGAGAGACTGTTGGTTTTATTTTAAACACTGAGAGCTTATATTTCAAGTTATCTGACTTTTTGAGATGCATCAGATAATATTGCCTTTTGGGTATTCTGTAACTAGTATTTAGGTTTTGATTACCAAATAGTTGCTAGCGCTTACAGAACATGACCCTGTAAGTAAGTTGTGTTGGAAATGTAGATCCAATATGGATCTACATTTTACATGTGGAAATGTAAAATATACTTTATAACCTACTTGTCATCTTGTAGACATTAAATTAATTTATTTCCTAATTTTTATGCTGAATTCTCTGTTTCTGAAATTTTAAATTTTTTTTTGCACGCCTTGGAGTATGCCCAGATCACTTAATGAGTTATGGGTAAGACAGGGTTACAGCAAGACATCTCCCTATGTTGCTTAATGTGACTCTGAGTATGCATAAAAAATAGCTGAACATATGAACAGCAATAACTGTAAAAAATCACTTCACAAAGTGAGCACAGGGATTGCTAGAAATTACTGTTGGATCATCTGTTTACAGTTGGTAATTTCATCAAATTGCAAACTTTACATCTGAAAATGTTCAAGGAGCCCCTCTGTTCATGATATCTGAATCACTTCTTAGTTCTGTTGAGTTTTATAAAACAGTAGTACTTTTTTAATCTTTCTTCATTCTAAAAATGCCAATGTTCATGTGAAAACTTCACCAAATACTTGACACAGTGACATGACCACAGGACTAAGATTCAGGACATCTTGGTATGCCAACCTTCTGAGTTTCCTCTGACAAATAACCTGAAGTCTCTGTCTTGATTCTTCTGTAAATAATATACCTTCTCAGAAGGAGGTTAAAGAATTACTACTTGAATACTTCACGAGCTGTGAAGTTTTTGTCATCTTGTATTTGAATGCTGGTTTTTTAGCAGTAGTTGAAAGAAATTAATTTTTAAATCAGTCATTTATGTGTGTTTTTAAATTCATCTTCTGGAATGAAATTCAGTGAGAAAGATGGTCAAATTGTATTACAAACATATTCCTTTATCTAAATTTTCCAAGCTAAATCTCCTCCAGATGTGTCTGTAATACCAAGATTTGTATGCTTATATTTTGTAGAATTCCTGGCAAAACCTACATGATAATAGCGTTTTTAACAGTGGGAACTATGGGTTTGTCAAATACCTCTTTAGGGTATCTGAATTACCCTACTCAAGTCATCTTCAAGTGCTGTAAGCTGATTCCAGTTATGATAGGTGGGGTTTTTATACAAGGTAAGTGTTAGTCTTGCTATTAGATGATTTTTTGTTGTTTCTTTGTGAAGCAGTCACGTGTGGAATCCCCTACTTTGTTAAATTCTACTGAAGCTCTTGGATAGAGAGGAACAGGAAGCATTTTTCCTATAGGAAGAAAAATGTGAATTTCTGAAGCATCTTCTCAGAAAATGTACAAATACAATTAGGTGAACAGAAAATGTGGGGGAAAAGAAGTTGTATAGGTCACTTGCAAAACTTCATTTTTATGCAGGCTTTCTTAATTTTTAAGTAATGTAACTTTGTTTTTTTAACCAAAGCACTGCATAAATGAAACATTTTCCATACTGAAATGGAAAACTTGAAATGGACAAAAAAAAAATATAGAAATCCATTATTTCTTAAGAAATCCCCTACTCTTCTTGTTTGAAAAGCTTGATTTCTAAATTCCAAATTAGAATTCCTAAATTCTGGTCAAACATTTAATCAGAAATAGATCTGACTTTACATGTCTTTGGCTAGTCCTTAAGTCACAGTTCATATTCCAAGAACAGAAGAAGGGGTCTGAAGAACAACAGGTAAAGGCTATAGTTATGCGAATAAACTTACTTCAGTATTTCTGGATTTAGAAGACTTAAGTATGTTATAAAAGTTTCTGTTTGTTCAATATGCAAGGATTCATTAAGTCAGTAAAGCTCTGCATGGGCAAGTGTTATGAAACAGAATCTAGAACAGTATATTTCTGCTTCTGTAGTTAATTCTGGCTTTCTACTTGCAACAGAAAGCTGAACTTTCAGAGGAGGGTACAAGTTTACATACGCACATGCATGCACATGTCCTTTTATTAGGAGTCTTTTCGTATCATTTTAAAGCAGAGACTGGTATTCCCTTAAAGCTTTGTGAAAATTTATATTGTAGTAGTATTGTGTTATCAGAAGCTGTGATTTATTTTTTTTTAATTATTATTTTTTTAAATTTTCCGTTAAAATTTGCAGCTCAAAAAAGTTCCCTTGGAAGCTTATGTTGAAAGTACAGCTTTTGGGAAAGGAATATGTTATTTCAAACGAGATATACTAACTCCTGCCTTTTCATTTCCCTACTCTATTTCTTTACACCCCTCCACATCCTGTCTCTCCCAAACTAAGGGGCAATGTAGGGTTCTAAAAACACCCAAATCATCTGTTAGCGTTTGGAAATTACTTCTCTCTAATCAATAAAGGCAGCCAAAATGTCTCGCATGAGGGAAAAAGCTTGAGAAAACATCTAAGCTGTCCTGAAGTTGCTGAGATGGTGCTTTGTCAGGGAAGATGTGCTTTATGTCATTCAGAATGTGCTTTATGTCATTAGGAGTAAAACTAAAACTGACTACAAGAATCAGATGGTGTCTGTTAAGGGCCTCCTCCATGTCAGGAGGAACTGCTTTTGTAGAAGAAACTAGTTCCAGTCATGAAAGGCCAGAGCATTAATTCTTCTACTAAGTAAAAGAATTACACTGGAACCGTTTTTCCTTTGCCTTCTAGTCTGCTAAACAGGATAAACTTGAAATTCTGAGAGTGTTAATAGTCCATTTGTGTTGTTTGTATTGCTTTTGTAGGAAAACGTTATAATATTGCAGATGTGTCTGCTGCCCTATGTATGAGTCTTGGATTAATATGGTTTACTTTAGCGGACAGCACAGTTGCACCAAACTTCAACTTAACAGGTAAAGATATTTTATATTTTAGAGTTTAACAAAATGCTTGTTTTTTCCTACGATAAGCGTTGCATAGAAGTTCTGAGAGTTCTTGGTGGAGTGCCTTCAGGTATCATACGGACAATGCAGGTTTCGTTGTAGGTTTGCACTAGCAGAACTGTATCTGTGGCAGAAGAGGCCTTTATTCTAACTGCTAGTTTTTAGGTTCTTAAAATTTCTGGAAATTCCACCCCTTAGGTTGAAATGTCTCATGTTTCTTCTCAAGAAATACTTACTTCCCATTAGATACGTTAGAATAAATATGATAAAATTCAGTTTGACTATTTTAAAACTTCGGAAGATTAGCTCACTTTTCTAGTTAAACCTTTAAGTCTTTTTCCATTTCAGAACCATTTACTTTATATTAATTGACAATCTCACTCGGATTTGCTGTAGTTTTTAGCTGGAATGCCCACATTCTAACTTTTCTATACTGTGTAAAATCAGAAGGAAGGAAAAGATTTTAACCTGCTCAGGTTTAAAAACTTAGTTGAATTTCTTTCTCAAATAACAAAGGAGAATTGGTTATGCTTAAAATCCATGTTACTTCCTTGGCCAGTGGTTGAATTAATATTGAACCTTGAAAAACTTTTGAATATTCTACTTTTAGTGTATTCTTCTTACAGTTACAACAACTGTTACAACAGACATTCAGTGTGAAATTTTTATTTCTTAATAGTGGAGGCACTGATCTAGAAGTTTTGTTCCTAAAAATAATAATAAATTCTCTGTTTTAAAGAAATGCTTTTTGTCCTTGCAAAATATTATTTCATCCAGGGTTAGTAATGATCAATTTGTGACATTTTCTAAACTGTATGTATCTTTTACCTTGCTCATAAATCAATTCTCATGCTTTTTATTGTAATTTTAGTGCTACTGGTAGTAGAAGAAATTACAAAAATCTGTGAATTTTATAATGTGCTGTGCATTTAATGTGTGTTTGTGTGGTATAATTTGGGGCCACTTGAAAAAAAACATATATTTTGAGTACAGTATGATATGCATGTAATTATATTCTAGTGTTTCTGATGTGTAGGTACGTGTTACCATTACAGCTTGTTTTGACTATAGCCTCTCAGTGCATTCACATGTTAATATATTCCTTTTGTAAAATTTGAATTGCATTAAGTACGTGCTATGACTTAATTCTGAAAACATTTAGAAAGTTGATTCTTCAACTGAATAGGCTAGGGTAAAGTGTAGCAAAAGTCCTGATGCCCTCAAAGATCTGCAAAACACAAGATAAAAGACTTTAAGTGTCTTCAGAGAATAAACAGGGTTGTCTTTCATTATCAATTTACTTTGAACACTTCAAACAAGTCTGTATGTATTGAAGCTTAGAGCACTACCATTTGGAGGAAGTTAGTTCTGTGAAAATAGAATATAGAACTAGAATTCAAAAGTCTGGATCTCCCCTTAGGAAGGTGATTCAGAATTCTCCTGCTCACCTTCTGAGAAGGTTCGTTCTGTATTTCTCTGTTCCTTCTTGCCTGTTTTTATTCCCATGTCACTTAATTTAACCAGAAGAAACTTTTCATAATGGGAAAGGTGGAGTTTTTCCTTTTCTTGAATTATGAAGATAAACGGTCCCTTCTTTCAAGAAATGTACGGATTTTTGGTATTGCAGAAATACATAGCTGCCAAAGTGTAAAACCAGTGATAAGAATTATTAAAAACTATGCTCACTCTGCAAAGTGGCATATTCTTTTGAATAATTACAGTTTTCTTGATGTAAGTCACAGAATAAGAACTGAAAGCAGAGAGGCAGAATTTAATTTTGTATCTTTATAAAGTATCTTCAAAGAAATAAGATAGCATTTAAAGAAGTTAAAACTTTAAAAGCTTAAACAGCAAATTAAATTACTGTTTTATAAAGTTGCATTTTTATGTTACTGCCTACTTACTGCCCCCTAAATTCCTGAGGTCGTTCCAGTGATTTATGAACACTTATGTAGAACTGTTTCCATGCAAACCAGTCTTGATTCTAGCATGATTTTACTACTGACTTGTTAAGAACAAATCTCTTTACATTTCAGAGTTCTAAGAGAGCAAAATTATGCTGTGAAGTTAAGTAAAACACAAAATCTTTGTTGTCTGATGCAGATACTAAAAATGGAGCATGAGGACATGTAAAATATTGTCTGGATGAACAATTTTACAAGGCCTTTTTTTTTTTTTCTTTCCCTCCTCCCCCGCTATTGAATGTAATCTCGGTATTGCTGGGCCAAAAAAGGAATCTACACAGATTTTGTTTATACATGAAAGAGGTCAGCCAAGAAAACAGAAACTCTCTTCTGCCAGAACAGGTACATATTTATAACTAAGGAAGAGGTATAATTTTCAAGATCAAGTTGGTGCTAAGAGCTCAAAGCATCTCCCAGCATTATCAAATTAGAGAGGTAGTGGTAGATATCCTAAATAGCCGTGAATAATAGATACAAGACTTCCAAAAGAGAAACCAGAAGAGAAGAGTGTGTAGAAGGAGACAGTCTTGTAATGTTGGTGCTACGGGAACTTCCACTGTTCTGGCATTACAGGTGTAAGTGGAAATTAACTATTTTCAGTAAAGACACAGTAAAAATGTCAATTGCATGCAAATTCCTCCACCCTGGACTGTATGTACAGGTGCAGTTTAGTCTTCTGCAGACTGAGGTGTTTTGTCCTTAGCTTTACTGCTGTTAAGAGGATATTACTTGGTTAGCTACCTCTACTATGCCTTCTAATCTTACCTATGGCAGGCTTCTAAAATGTGGAGTATTAAAGAGGTCTTAATGGGCAGGTAAACTGCAACAATTTGCTAGTCTAACACATTTGCGTCGTGGGGATTGCAAGCGTGAGAAGGTATTGTTGAGGAACTTAGGTAAATATCCAATACCTTATAAATGTGTAAGTAGTGTCAGTATTTTAATGACTTCAAGCATCACATTAATAGTGTAAAATACAATGTAATGTAGTGTTTCAATCAAGTCTGTTGGTGCAAGACCTCCAGGCTTAATTTCTTTCAGAACTAATTTATGACCAGTTCCTCCAATCACTTTTACTCGTGCTTTACCTACTGCATAATGTTACTGGTCTTGTTCATGGTTTTGCTGCTGCTGCTTGGCAGGTGCAGTGCTATCACAATGAGTGGAACAACTCTTCAAACTGTGTTTGTACATAGTGTTGACATTTGTCTTGTCCCTACATTTCTCCTTTCCATTCACACTTGCACTTTAGATTCCGGGTAACGTTTTCATCTCAATCCGATACTGAACCCATGCATTTGTCCAGTGTCTAGGCTGTTAAGCGCTGCTGGAACCAGCATGATAGAGAACACAGATAGAGGCATACCCAGTCCCTTGACAGAAGTGGTCTGCAGCAAGGCTATTGCTGAGCTGCAGGTTTGAATATACCTTTGGACCAGAGCTGAATCCATGTAGTTAATCAATCTATGCTGTGGTCTTTAGCATAACCAGTGTTATTCAGGTTATCGTGTCATTTCCATTGACTTATAACTTTTCCAATGCCTGATAACTTTGAATAATTGAAGAGTCTTTTTCTGTTGCTTCAGTTGCATAACTCTAGCCCAGGAAAGGAAATGGTTCCCCAACTAAAAACGCTGGTTTGGAAGTTCCAGTGTACCCAGATGCTGGCCAAGGAGATGCCACCTTCAACTTCGTTGGTCTTAAAAATGTTAAATTTTTCAATTCTGAAAATTCTAGGAGCTGGGATTTTTTTTGCTCTGTCAGGAGCTTATACTCCATTTCATCCATTAGAATGCCTGTTTTGAGACCTCTGATAGTAAGAACATAATATTAAGAAAATTATAACCTTGATTGTTTCTAGTCTTCCACTCCTCATTCTTCCCTGACACTTAGGATGTCTTAAGGAACCAAGACCTAGAACAGACAGTAAACATGATTTTGATGACTGATACTTTTTGTAATGTTGTATACTTAGGAAACGTGGTATTTCAACCTGTGTGCATCATTAAATACAAAGGTTGCTACAGTCTTGAAAGAATCGAAGTTTGGAGGTTGGAAAATGAATTGTGACTGGCATGGATAAAGAGTTATTAGTTTTTGTTATTGGAAAGCTGATTACGTTATTGACTGTGTAGTGACTTTTTTGTGAACAAATATGGTAACCTAAAACCATGGGGTTTGTACCTGAACAGTATCTTTTTTTAAATTAGTATTTCAGTAATGAAAGATTTCTATTGTGAATCCTCTTGCATTTGTTTTACCATTACATCTAACATTTCTATTTCCCTTTGTCAGGAAAAAATAATCTAGGATTAACTACTCAAAAGAGTATGTTTTGTGGTTACTTATATTCATTAAAAAAGCCTAAATAGATGCCATTGACATTCTTTCACTTTTGTTACTACAAAAACTACAGCTGGCTTCTTTATAGCAATGTCCAGATGTTCCTATCAAGCTTAGAGACACACAGTGCTCAGGGGTTAACTGGTGGAGGGAGTGGGGGTGGGCACTGCTTTATACTGGTGTAATGAAATAGTTTTGCTAACACTTAGAATATGATATGGAGGGGGGGTTATTATTTTTCTATTCCTGGAACTTATTATTTTTTCAGGGTAAGTACAGAGTGGTTTTCGTCACTACTCTGCTGCTAAATATTCTGAACAGGTTTTTGTTTGTTTTTTTCTTATATTAGGTGTGGTCCTAATATCCCTTGCCCTCTGCGCAGATGCAGTTATAGGAAATGTACAGGAAAAAGCTATGAAGTTGCACAATGGTTCTAATTCAGAAATGGTAAATACCAGATTTGCAATTTTCAAAGAACACATTCTATCATAGACAAGGCATACAATGACAAAACATGAAACAAATTTGCCTTTCTCTTGCATATGTAAAGAAGAGCTCTTGGTGTACTATTCTTGGGGGTTTGTGTTTGTTTGTTTGGGGGCTTTTGCTGTTTTTTGTTTGTGTCATTTTTAACCTTTCAAGGATGCTGCTTTCTGTGTGCAACTTCAAACATATGTCGCAGCTAAAGAAACGCTCATTTCTAGCAACAATTTCTTAGTCTACCCCGCAGGCCGGAAATCAACAGTGTTTTCTGTATGATCATGCACTTAATCTTTGAAAAATATATACTGTTCTTCTGCTATAGATGAACATGTGTTACATAGAACACATTGCTTTTCTTACTTGCTAGGCTTTGATTCTAGAGTGCTAGCATTTGAAAGGCAGCCTTTTTTGAGGCTTTTGAAATCCATAAAACTCTGACTTTCAGAATGGGTGAATATGTGTTTTCCTGATTCAGTGGAATGCATAATTTTGAAAAAGTCTTGCTCAGTATTTTTTATATACTTACTCGGAACGTGGCTTAGCTGTTCATATGGTCTGACTTTTTTTCCTTTTTAGACAAAATTTATGTTTGCATTTGGCATTTGTCGAGTATATACAAGAAAATCTTTTATTATAGCAGACGTTATTTGAATATGCCACAAGTAAAGAATTCTTGAAATTTAATTTACCTATTTGGCATGTATTTGACATTTAAGTAGAAAATCTAGTTTCTCATTTATGAGAATAGCTTCATAAATGGAGAAAAAACTATTTATGAGGAAGCTTCGTTTAAGGCTGAAGGTGATTTAGGTTGGCTCGGGAAGTTTGAGCTGCAAGGTTCTGGAAATTGGAATACACCTGAAAAGTGTCACTGTATTCTTGTTTTTATTTTTGTACTTTTTCACAGTATTCACTGTTGCCTGCTGCTGGAGGCAGAGATTTTAGCTACATGGACCTCACCTTGACCCAGTGCAGCCTTCTATAGCTGTAGTCTCTGAAATCCTAAACAATGTACAATCTGTAACTGTTCTCTTGCCCACTTTGCATCTTGGCAACAGTCATCTGTCAGTTGTTAACTACGAAGCTCCTGTTATCTCCAGAACTTCACTTTTTATTCTGCGTTACTCTGACAAATGTTGGTTTCCGTATTGTATACTCATCCTTCCTGTAGAGAATCAGTGTAGTGATAAAAGTTTTGTTTAAGGCCTAGAGATTACAGTCCAGGATTTTATTTGGAGAAGTCAGTGCAGAAGTACAAGCAGAATTTAAGAAATCATTTTTCTAGACTTTAGACTGTGGGTAAAAATTGAAGACGTCTTCTGAATTGGAGATCATGTTTAATGGACAGTGATCTGGAAATAAAATTGAATAGTAAAAGAACCTGTCATCCACAGGATCTCTGTTCCGTTGCCAATGGAACTTGCCCTGGATTAAGCAATTATGAAAAGAGAAAAGATGTCTTGCAGCTGCAATAGTAACCACTGCTCTGGAAAGTTGTACCTGATTTTGCCTTGTCTGTGATTCTAAGGAAGTGACATACATCACACTGCCTAACAAGGAACTAGCAATGTGGTGCTCGTTACTGGTTGTGAAAAGTGAGGTCTTTGTGTTGCTTGGAAGAAAAGCTGGATGCAGAGGCAAATGAAGAACTAGAGATTAACTTTTTACAGTGTTTATACACACAAATAAGAGCTCTGAAGATCAGATCATTGTTTTTTAAGAGTTTGAAAGCAGTTCTGCTCTTGAAATGTACATTCATCCTCCTTTTTGTAGAGCATAAGTGTTTTGTTGTCTCATGGCATTGCTATCAATTGTTAATAGATTTATTTTTGCAAATAATTGAGATAGTATAACAAGAAAACAATTGATGAAAGCTGTGTCGAAAGAGGTAGGCCTGTAATTGACACTGAGTTTTGCAAGTGTAGTAGTAGATCAGTGTGTCCCAGCTAGTAATGTGTAGAATAGTTCTGTTCATTCTTCCTTTTTCACAAGGAAAGGCCACTAAATGTTGCCCAAATAACTGAATGCCTCCTGCTGCACGGAGGGAGGGATGGATGGATGGGCAGTTCCAGCTGCTATGTTGTCTGTCTCTACGTGGGAGAGGATGGGATGAAGATTCTTTTGTTGCTGTATGAAGCTATGAATTAAATAAGGATACAGACAAAATGAAGAGCTTACCTGTTTCCTGGGTATAGTCTGTTCTGAGTACTGAACTAGGCCAGAGCTGGTCATATTTGAAAATCTTGTATCCTGTAACTCTAATGCAGGTGTGCCACGTATGTGAGCTGAAGTGACACAGATGAAACTTACCTGACGCTTTTGGCAATTCTTGGTGATTATGTGCTATCCTTTGCAAATTTAATATAATATGGTTCTTTACAGTGCAGGATAAGTAGCAGAAAATGAAATACATTTAACGTGTTATTCAAAATTTTAAATTATATAGTTGTGTGAAGTTTTGTTTAGGCTATGAAATCCTGAATTCGAAGGATTTACCACAGTCAATGTTGACCTCAAGATATTATTAACTGCCTAGCTTACAAAACTTTTTTTACATAGTTGTGGGTAGGAAGAATGTCTCTGACACTAACACTTACTATTCACTTTTCATGTACATCAGCTATTATAGAAGTCCTAGTAAAAAATGTCTTCAATCACTGCAAATTCAACTCTGAGAAGTTGAGCACATTAAAAGGGTCAAGCATTTGAAAGCATTTAATTTTGTCCTGTTGTATAGTTTCACCTGGTAATTATTTTCTCTTAAACTATTCCAGGTTTTGTATTCCTATTCAATAGGTTTTGTGTATATTTTGTTTGGATTAACATGCACTAGTGGATTAAGCCCTGCAGTAACATTTTGCTCAAAGGTAGGTATAAAGATTTCCTTTTTTCTATGAAGAACCTCATTGGAAAATGTTGCTCTGTATGGTTTAGAAAATCTCGCCACCTCTCTAAAGTTCTATTTTCATCATGTAAACTGGTTAAACTGTACAATTCATACATAAAGCAAGTTGTTACAGTCTTTGATGTATTAGATAGGGTAATGTTTTAAAAAACAAAACAAAATCACAGGACCAGACTTATAAGCTTATAATTTCGTTATTATTTTTCCATTATTTAACTAAAAATTAAATAAGGATCTTTGCATGAATGCATTGTTGAACAGTGTATTATTGCTCAAGCAGTTTATTAAAGTCTGTAGTTTTATGTCATTTTGCAATACCTCAGGGTTTGTTTTACATTTTCCTAACAGGCTGCTTTTGTTGTTGCAGCATCCAGTTCAGACTTACGGTTATGCATTCCTTTTCTCCCTGACTGGGTATTTTGGCATATCCTTTGTTCTAGCTTTGATTAAAATCTTTGGTGCCCTTCTGGCTGTAACAGGTATGAAAAAATGGTATCTTTACTGCTTTTGGTATAAAACCATAAAGTGATCCTATTATTTATAACAGAGGTTTTGAGAATTGTTCTTATCTGGGTTTTTTTTTCCTGTTCTTTGTGCTGACTGATCATGGTTTGTGTAGCTTGGCTCTTCTCTAGTAGTATGTGTTTGAGAACTTTCTGGTTCTTTCTGTGCCACGGTTTCAACCTTGAAGAGCCTGTTACGTAATCTGGTGCATGTAGCCTGTGCTTTGTTTTGATGCAGAAACAACACTGTTCTAAGCAGAGGAATGGCAGTGGAAATATATAGCAGGGTGTAAGGAAAAGACAGGTATTATTTGAAACATGGAAGGAAAAGTAAGGATGTTTTAGTAAGGCATAGTAGGCAGTGTCATAGTCTCTAAGCACAGAATTTCTGGAGATTTCCAACAAACAGTGTTGCTAGAAAAACTATGAAGAACTCCCCCGAAGCTTCTGGATGTCCATACACTGAGTGGAATGCTGCTATAGCAATGTTAAATGCACTCTCCAGACTGAGTTCAGCATAAACTCAAGTGGAACAAATTCTGACTTTTGTGATGATCTGCTCAGTTCTTTTTATTAAACCAAAGGGAATAAAGGGTGTGTATTAGTTTTGGAAGTCAGGACTTGAACTAAAACTTCTAGTAGTCTGTGTAACAGCTGCTGCATTATCTCTGAAGTTGTACCTGTCCCGTGAATACACAAGTTGCAAGCCTGTTGTTAATGCCAGAAGCAGACTCTGTCTAGTCTTTCAGATCTTCTAGACATCCAATGTAATTGTCTGACAAAAAATGGAAGCAGTCATGTTGCCTCTTAAATGCTTAGTACAGCATATGACTGTATCAACCGTGCCAGAAGAAACAAATATAAAGAACTCTGATCAGTAATATGTTGAAAAGATTTGGGCCACTCGCTTGTGTGGCTGCTAGCCGCATGTGAATGGAATAGTACAAGGCCCTAAAGTATGTCAAAAGTTACTGGAATCCTGTCCAGGCTAAGAAAGTCACCAAATGCCATCTTATCTGTTCCTGAGTCCATACACAGATAAGAAGTTTCTGAGATTTGGTGTTCTCACCTAATAACATAATTTCCTAGCAATAAATGCTAGGAAAAAAGTCAGACCTACCTGTGCTGACATGCTCCAGGTATGTGTCCAGACAGAGGATGAAAAGGAGGAAGTGAAGCAAGAGACCGTCACAACCATTATAGATTTTTCAACCTTTATAGGTATTCAGACTTGACTCTTATCCCGTATGTAACTGGATATATTCTTTACATTGGGTAACGAGTCATCTGGACAAATCGTGTGGAGAGATTGAGATTCCTACTAGCTGAGATTGGCTTTCTATGAACGAGGAAGCCACTGAGCGCAATGAGTCTCAGCGCTGTGCTGGCAAGTAATGTCACCTGCTTACACTTGGTCTTTACTAACGTATTGGCTGATGTGTACCTTAGAAACAATGCAAAGTATTAAAACTAAATATATTCTGTGTGGAAGGACAACTATATGGCTTCAGAGAAGGAAGTGTGTTCAGACCTTACTGTTACATTGTCTGCCTGAGATCCTTACTGGAAGAAGCAGTATAGAAAATTATTAAATCAAAGGAATCACTAGTAAGACAGATGTCACAGAAATTGTGGCTCAGAAGTTATTTGTACTAGTTTATTGTGACTTGCATCTGTATTTGTGAGGCCATGGCATATTTTAGTATGGGGCGTTACCTGAGTGTGGCAAAGCTAGCTACAGCCAAAAGACATAACTGTATTACAAGTGAGTGCTTTTAACCTCTGTCATTATGAGTTTGTAAAACAGTCAAGTGACTGAAGTGTTTACATATGAGATGGGAAATGACTCTGCTGTTCATTTTAGCAGTAGTTAATTGTAATGTTAACATTTTTATGTATATAAAAACACTAAAGGAAAAGTCTGACACTTGATAATTTTTCAGCATCTTCCTATACACCTGTTTTCAGGCTATCCCTAAAAATATTGCTCTTTATTATACACAACTGCTATAGAACGCGAAATTGTCAGTAGAAAATTGTTGCTTCCAAACTTAAAATGGAACTTGAAGTTTGTTTTTTTTTTTTTTTTTAGCCTCTCCTGTCATTTATGTACTCACTACAGTAGTCTGTCAAGAACAGTTACACCAGGCTTATTCCTTCCTCAGGTTACTTTTTCTTCAAACTGCAAACATTAATCACAAGGGCCTGAGGGGGGAAAGCTGTAGCAAGATGCCATGGAGCTACTTGCCTCTCTTCCGTCTACCCCTAAAAGCTTCTTTCTGTCAGGGGATGCTCTACTTCATTCGCAGTAGTGGAGAGGAGAATACAGACAGTTGTTTTCTGACCTGAGGATTGCATGCTCTGCTTTCTTATTAATTGTTGCCTCTGCAGCACTTCTGTTTCGCATTTGTTTTTAACAAAGTTCAGTATGTCTCCTCACTGGAAATTGGCCTGGATGAGAGGGTTGGTTCATGTATTAAAATAGCTCTTTAGGAAAAAAAAAAAAAAGGTCTTACTGTGCTAAAAAATGTTTAAAAATGCTGTGGAATAGCGAACCCCTCCCAGGTTTTCTTATGCCTGACCTTGACAATCCTAACACTTGAGCCCTTTCTGTCTTGCCTGTAGCAATGTGAAAGTGTTTATTGTGCCTTGGAAGAACACCACATTCATTACTGTCCCTCCCACCCCCCATCCACCCTCCCCCTTCTTGAGGGGGGAGTGGGGTGAAAGAGTTTAATGAAAATTGTATTTCTATTAGCAGAATGAGAAATTATCAGACTTAATTGGGAAAAAGACAAAAAGGCACTTAATTTAGAAGGAAATGGTTACATAAATATTTTAATTAATAACTGATTTGAAAGAACAGAAATAATCGTAATTAGAAAAACTGAAGTAATTTAACCATTTTTTAAATTATTCATTTGTAAACTGTTTTCTAATTAAAACTCAATTTTCTTTTTCATTCTCCTTTAATTTTTCATGTAATAGAAAATCATTTTATTTGATGCGCATAAATTTCTTAAAATGTAAAGAAAATTGTTGCTAAAAAGTTAAGATTTGAGTAGATAAAACAATAGTGAAGGCTGTTTCTTCCACTACAAAACATGCTTTTAAGTAAATATTTGTTTGAGGGGGAGGGTTGGGGAGAATCAAACTTGCTTTGGTAGTCATTGGTTCCTTTTGTCAGTATGTTAAAGTAATGTGGATGTAGTTACACAAGTAAGACTTTCCAGTATGGTGTAGTAAAAAGTACTTCATGGTAAGCACAATATTTTCTGTTAATAAAAAAGATAGTTTTCTTTAGCTGCAGACAATTGTACTGGGGTCTTTCTGACGTGAGAAGCCTGTACTATCATATAACACCTTGTCAGGCCCTAACCTCTATAACTAAACTGATGCACCCAGCTGTATGGTTGCTTTTTTAAAAACGTTTTCTATAACTTTTACTCATTTATTGATTATTTTTGTTTCAGTAATAAACTGTATAGGTTTCCCAGTACACAATTTGCTAGCAACGCTGTATTCTTGTTCATAGCAGGTAGCATTGAAATTGTTCAAATAATTATTGGAGCTATGGTTAATTTGAGAGTAACCCAAACAGATGGTTTACTTCCATTTTGGTAACAGGACTGTGCTCTCGACTCTTCTTGCAAACTTGATTCTTTCTAGTGACAAGATCACATGTGGAAGAAGGTCTCTTAATGGTTTTGATGAAAACTTCCTAATGCATAATCATTGAAATTGAACATCCTTGGTCTCTTATGTTTCTAACCGAAATTGTATTTCTCTGCACTGTTAGGTAAATTTTCAGTAACTTCAAAAGAATGACGAGTTGCTGATCCCATTCCACTTAAAAATAAAGCCCAAAACACTACTGAACTGTAATAACATGAGGTGGAAATAGCAAGAGATTTGGTAAATCCAAATAGTGATACTACTTCTCTCTGCTTTAACAGATTGGTTTATACCATCAGTTACTTGCAAAGACTGTTTGTTGCTTTCAGATATTGTGAATGATTAGCGTGAAGTTACTAAATAGCAAGTCTTGTTCTGGAAGTTACTCTGTTGCAGATAACTATGAATGGAGCTGATATTACTGATGCAGTGTACTTGTTTCAAACAGCATATGGTTCTAGCACTATTTTGCACTGGACCAGGGCATCTGCAGTCTGTTTGCGTCAGGGATGAGGGTCTTTTTAGCCAGATGCTTAATTATGTAATGAGGTTATCTACTAATATCTAAGACTGTAGTATGTTCTTTTGCTGTAACTGAATTCTTAAAGTAAATATTTGTTTTCCTCTGCAGTAACGACAGGAAGAAAAGCAATGACCATTGTGCTTTCTTTCTTGTTCTTTGCAAAGCCATTCACATTCCAGTAAGTATTTATAGTTTTAAATGGGGGTTTATATATTTTATAAAAAATTACATTCTTGATCATGGAAATATAACAAAAGTAATTAATCATATTCAGGCTTTAATGCTTTTCATTTTGTGTTTTCTACAAATGTTGGCCATCTGCTGTAAACATTGACTGGCTTGTTGATGCTAATCATGCTAGAGAAAATAGTTTCCATTTTTCTAAAGGCCTGGAAGACAAGCTATTTCATGTGTTGGCATTTTTTTGTTGCGTTTAAAGAAAAATCTTACATAATTTCTAGTGCTTATGATACCTAATAAATTGTTTGCGTACTTCCTCTGTGGAGGAAGGTTTGGCTAAAGGAAGGCATTTTCTCCATTACAGTATTGTTTCCCCTTTTATGAGCTCAGGTTTGAGTTCTTAGCTAACCCTTTTGAATAACTGTAAGCTTCTATTATCTTGATATATTAAGTTGCAAGTGGCTTTCTTCTCTTTTTTAATTTCAAGGAAGAGCTTACATTGAAAAATGCAGCTAAGCTGCTACATTGATGCTAATTGCTTTTGGTTTGAAACAAAATAGTATTCAATTTTATTGCTATGTATAAATTTGAGATTTAAGAACAAAGCTTACAGCCCAATGCCCAAATGGAATTTACTCCAGATAAAATTCTTGAGGCTTAAAATAATGGAGAGCTGAAACAAAAATGTGCTTACATTGGGAAGTATGGATATAAGACACCGAGTGAGAACCTGTTTTGGAGCAGTAATGGAGAGTATAGCTTTCATAACTGTAGGAAGGAAAAACATACTAAACCCCCTCAGGACTACTTTATTCATGTGAGAAAGAACAGCTACTGTTAGTATTTAACTACACATGCACCTTAATAAGCTCTTCAGACAAGGTGGAAAAAGGAATAGAGGAAGGATGGTAATAATAAAGATTCAAGCAAATTCTTTCTCAGAGTCCACTAATTTGTGGGGTTTTTTTCCTTAAACTTTTCTCTCCTTAATATAGGGGCTTTATTTTTATTTAATCCACAGATATTGCTATGTAATCACTACAGATAAAGTGCTAATGCTAACTTTTCTCCCCTTCCTCTCCCTTCCCTTTAGGTACGTGTGGTCAGGCTTGCTGGTTGTCCTTGGTATATTTCTTAACGTTTACAGTAAGAATATGGATAAAATCAAACTACCTTCACTGCATGGTCTTTGGAAAAAAAGTGTGGAAGAAAGAAAAACAAGGACGTTGTCACAAACTGTATAGACAGTGGTTTATGCCTTGTCTAGACTATGACTTACTATTTTATTGGAACAGTCTTCAACTGATTCACTTTCCAAAGGGAACATTATTAAAACCAAAGGAGCTGAAGACATATTGTCTGCTTGCAGACTGCTAGAAATGCACATTTTTGTGAGCCCTTTCTTCAGAGCACTTGAATTCATCGTAAAAGGTGTTGTAGGCCATTGTCAGACGGCATTATCAGGCAATGAAGGACAGCAGCTCCTGGCAGACTGCTGAGAAGCTGCACTCCAAATGGGGACACAGTAGAAGACTAATTTGGGCATTTTAATAATATTGGCCATGTGGCTGATCTGAGATTAGTCATTCTTTGCCTTCGTTAATTGTCTAGGCAGGGTAATTTAAATGTAATACTGTATTAACATTTAATGGAACTTAATCAGCAACTGGTTGACCAAACTGCAATTTTAAAGGTGGAATGTTTAGAATATGGTATGTTGTCACTCTTTTTCATTTTAAATAAAAATGTTGGGTTTTTTAATTTATTGATTAGATCATCACAGAACTTGATATTTATTGTAATAATTGAATTTTTTATGGAAATCTTACGGTGTTACTCTCTTTGATTAGTGCTTGCAAGTAAAAAAAATGAGATTGAGTTTGTGCAGTCAACACCTATGCTTTTTGAAGGGTGGAATGGTCAGTTAGCCCTGACAGGGGTGAGAACACAGAATGAAAAAGTTGTGATTGAAACAGTGGTGTAAGAAGCTGTTGTTTGCTTATTCTGGAGGTGAAATGTAAAATTGATAGTGGCCTGTGGCCGTGCATATCATAATGGTGTAAAGAGACATGGGAGTCCTCTAAATAAGTATCATCAAATCAACACTCTTCAATACTGGAGTAAAGAATAAGAGCATCTGCTAATGTATTTGGAATATGTCTTGTGTCAGTCTCTGTGTGGTCCTGTGATGAACTTAAGAGGATTAGGGTACAGATTACAATTTCGTTTATTTAATGACAGGAGGAGACAATGTACTTACCAGTCTGTCTTTTTTGTCATGAATTTAGGAAGACTTAAGTCCATTTATCTCTCTTACTTTCATATTCAACTTGCTTTTGAGTCGCTTGCCGTCTCTTTCTTTTTTTATATATTTAACAATAGCACTTTAAAAATACTAATCACCTTACAGTTCATTGTTCACATGTGGTCATGATTGTTGTTGTGTCCCTTAGATGTATCTTGGTGTGTGTTCTTTCAAATTAGACAAAAGTAAATTGGATAATAGAATTGTATAGTCAGGAAGAATGTACAAAGAGTTGAAATATCTCACAGGATTGCCTTCTGCCAAAAATACCAGTTTATGAAAGTATTTAAAATGTGCGAAACGTTTTTCAGACATTTGGGTAGAATTGCTCTTCCAAGGACCTTGTAATCAAAGCACAGACACACAATGTGCCTTAAATTTTGCTTATTGAGTTGGTAGCTAGCTTATACCATATCAAGTATGTTATAAAATAAAACATGGAATAACATAGTATGATGAGAGAAACAGGTGGAGAGCTGCGCTAACGTAAGTGCACGGTTTCCAGCACTCTGGTGTGTCAGCAAAGCCTTTCAACCCATATAAACCTAGTGTTGTTGCCAAGTTATGAGAATTTATTGTGTGTGACAATTTTATTCTTTAAATTCCCAGCTGCTGCATGATTGATTGTTTCCTGGGTAAGGTAGAGAGGTGTGAATTTGATGAACAGATAACACCTTGAAAGAGAAGGGTGGTTTGCCATGATTATTCATTTTCATGTTGCAGCCAGTTTTATGTTAGGGTATGAAAAAGGATTACCATTTCAAATTTGAAATGCAAGAGTGCATTTGACCAAGTCAAGAGGATTGATACACATTTCTTTCCCCATAATATTTATCAACTTTTATATTCCTTTGCATTCTTTTCACTAAATAAAGTTGCTCTTTCCAGTTTAAGTTACGTATGAAGCTTAAAAGAGGGGCAGTTTTTGAACCTTTGAGAAGAAAGTAGTTACAGAACACTAACTGCTCTATTCACTGGTTTGGTGGAACTTGGTAAGTCTCGGTTTTGCCATCTGTAAACTCTGTTGCTAAACATTATTGAACTTCAGGAAACCAACTTATGTGAAAAGTACCATACATACAAAAAGTCATAGTAAATATAACTTGTTTGGCAACTATTTTTTATAAATAGATGAGAAGTCCATCCCAAAGTTTCTGACTAGAATTCAAATGTAGTGTGTAGGTTGCTGAACTGTTTATATAATACAGTTTTGTCTCTGTTTTCTCTCTTTGGAGAGTATAGTGTTCACCGTAATCTACCTTTTAATTTATTCTCTGTTGTAGACAAGACTGAGTTAATGGAACACACATTAGGGGAAGTTTTGATTTATTTTTTTTTATTCATCTTCTTTTTCTGAACTATAGAAATATATGCTTCGTTTTACAGGTGTACTCTAAAAGATTTTTGTAGACAAATGAATATTGTGTGCTTCGTTTTACAGGTGTACTCTAAAAAAAGGATTTTTGTAGACAAATGAATATTGTAGGTTTAGTGTCAATAGCATAAATTTAAGTCAGATTTTATTTTCATAGGTGTGAGTCTAGTGCTTGCTAATCAACAACATGTAAGCGTGTTAATGAAAATGCATGCACAAGTGAGAGTAGTTCATAATTTGCCACCTGTCATGGTCTACACAGTTTCATGCTTTCGCTGAGACAATAAGATAACCTTCATTTCAGTGTATTTACTCTTTGTGGGGTTTTTTTACCAGGCTTTATAGCGCATGCAAGTAAGAGAACCTTACAAATCCCCAAGTGTTCTTACCACAAAATTTTTGTTTAGGATCTTCTGTACTGTATATGTGTGTTGGTTTTGTGTTGTCTATGAAATAAGAATAAGGGCTTGTTCACAAAGTAACTGTAAATACTTCATTTTTCATGTAAGAGCACTTATATTGGCATGTTGGTTAACCCTTCCTAATGTTGCTACTTAGGCTGATTATAATAACTTTTGCATTTTATAGTCATTAATGCCTGGACTCTTTACAGTAGGCATTATGAAATCACAGAAAAAAACATTCATTCTGTCACCATAAAATTTATTATCTAAATATAATGTGAGTTAGTTGCTTCTTATTCTTACGCTACACAACTTTTTTCTCTCCACAGAAAAACTGTACACACTAAAATTTAAGGCTACCCAAGGTCTCCACTGATGTCAGCAACCTACCTCTGTGACACCCTTACTTTTGGAGGACTGAGTTTTTCCTAAATTTTCTTAAATTAGTATGCATTTGCAGTTGCTTTCACATTACATTTTTGCATTTATTTGGCATACTTGAATACCGAAGTAATTGACTGTTCAGTGGGTTTCTTCAGTATTTCAGTACATCAATATCGTCAAACTGCTAATTATTCAGATACCTATATGTGAATACAAGCGTGGAAAAACTAATGCTCTGAAACACACCCCGAACCTACAGTGTTTCCTAATACTGCATTAAACTGTTTTTCTTAGTCTTGTTTTACCGCTCATATGCTTTGTACTTACCAATCATTTTAACATAAAACTTAAGCATACATCATTCCTACTTGTCTTCCTGACTTCCTCACTTGTCTTTCTTACTTTTGGATGCTAACTCCCTTTTTAACGTGCTCTGCTGATACACTATGTATTGTTTTCAGGTTTCTCTTCCTCCGTTTAAGGGCTCACATCATACTATTATAGATTAGTCACACTCTGTATTTTCTGCTTCACATCAGTTGTGAGTGTCTGGATGACTCTTTTACATCCTTTTTTCTCCATGAAAAAATATCTTTCCTTTTATACTTTCCGTTATTTTTGGAAAGGTCTTGATGAGTGCGTGTATGAGTTAACTCCTTGACCTCATTCCATCTTCCAAGAAAATCTCACTTCTCCCTTGCTTGCCTTTGAGAACTAAAGGAACAGGAAATAAATTATTGCAAGTGCTCTTTTTTCTTTAATAAGTGCCTTCCTTACTAACCTGGTTTGTCTTAATTGTTTTGTTTCTTTCTGCTTCCCGTGCTCCCAGGCACAAACAAGCCTTTCTCTTATGTTTGACCACTGCTTGTTCAGTCATGGAAACTTCTTGACTTGTTTGCTGTCCTGGAAATATGTGTAGAGTTGCATGTATGCTCTGGAGGGCAGGAAATAATAAGTAAACTTCACAAGTTAGGGAAGTAATTAAATGGATTCATACTTTTTTTTTTCTAGAGGGATTTTAGATGTGGTTTAGGTAATAGCTCAGAATTTGTTAGTGGAAGGGTTTGGGTTTTTTTTTTTAACATTTTACCTGTTTAAATATCTTTATATTAATTTTAATATTTAATATAAAACTCCTGACTATTCAGGCAGTTTATAGACATTAATTTTAGTCTTGCCTATGAGGCAGAAAAATTCTATCTCTATTTCACTGATAAAGCAGAGACGGTAACTTGCCTAAAGTTGCCATAGTAAGTCTGTGGTGAGCAGGGAATAGATGTTAATACCCTCAGTTATTCTGTGCCCCAAGTCCAACAGAGCCCTTCTGTACTTGAAATAAAACAGTACCATCATAAGCTCAGTTTTCTTTTACCCCAGGATTAGAGATTTTTAAATTGTTTCTGTTCTGTGTTCTATTCTAGTATAATTTAATGTGAAATTAATACAAGTCATAAAGTAGGCTTCCTTGTCTTGTTTGAAGCTTCTTTGCATTGTGTGCATTGTCATTGTCTTGCTGATTTGTTCTGTTTTCTGTGAATACTGCTATGGAAACAATGCAGAGGGAGAAGCAATGGTAGGAGAAGCATAATATCCTTCACTTTCAGGTGACTGGTCCAAATTTAGTTCACCCTTGCTACTGGTCAAAAGCTGTTGCCATTGGAAAACTGTGAGGAATTGTTATGATGTGAGGAATTTAGCATAATGATGTCATGCCAGATCTGTATCTTTTTGCCGTTCACTTGTAGAGAAGCAAAAACATTAACGCAATAAAGAACATTCATGCACAAATACTCAGCTTAGAATATAATGCTGACATAATGCTTCTTTTCTATACCTTGTTTAATTTCTGCTGTTTCACTGGTTTTTCTTGAGGTGTGATAGTAATGTATTGCTTCTCTATGCTTTTGGACATTTAAATATTTTTTTCTTTGGTAGATTTCTTAGTTTTGTGCTTCTCTTGTTTGTTGGTTTGGGGTTGTGTTTTTTTTTCTTTTTTTTTTTTATTATTTATTTTAAGTGTAAAGTTTTACCTTGTGATTTTCATTACCCCTGTAGTACTGTGTCCAGTTCTGGGTTCCCCAGGACAAGAGAGAGACAGGGCTACAGGAGAGAGTCCAGCAACAGGACACGAAGATGATGAAGGGACTGGAGCTTCTCTCCTATGAAGAAAGGCTGAGAGATCCAGGACTGTTCCGCCTGCAGAAGGGAAGGCACAGGGGAATCTTATCATTGTGTATAAATACCTGAGAGGAGGGAGCTCAATCCCTTTCCAGTGGTACCCAGTGACAGGACAA